TCCTACTTACTAGCCTTCTCCTTCTCCCTTCCCACTCCCTCTTGCAATTTCTTTCCTCCTCGTCCTTCTCTTCTTCCCTCTCTCCATCGTTCATCTCCTTCCATCCTCCTATGAATATGAGTGTTACTATGTTGGTCTCTGTAGCAGCTGTCACGTAGATCACTGAAAGTCCGTGTGTAACATTAGTAGAATACATATAAGTCCTTTATTTACCCCCGACAACTGGTGACCAGCATCTTTTATTTAGGTGTCTAATTTCTCGAACTATTATTTATTGTTCTCACTTGATATTACATGGAAACAACAGAATAGTATTTCAGATATTAAGATTAATATAAAAGTTATAACAGGCGTTAGTTGGAATAGCACCGTACCAGTGATCATTGATTTACTCGTTTGTGCGCAGATCGATATGAACATGAATATATGATTATCTATCAATACAACCAATCAAATACAACCTGACATAGATTTATAGGAAAGCAATCGTTATTCATGCTATAAATGTAATTAATTATAGAATAATAAAAAAAGTATTTTGTCGGTTACTATAATGGTTGTCGTTGTAAAGGTTTGATGTCGACACAATGGTTTGTTATAATTGGCACGTGAGAGGTGTTGTCGTCTCTTGTTAATTATGAATCTCCTATTGACCTTACTGATACAGAAAATACAACGTACTTTCCTAGAAATGCAAGGTGATTTATGTTTCTCGAATATTTTTGAGTGTTTTTTATCATTGATCACAGGGTTAAAACTATAGTGTCAGCTTTACGACATTTTTTACCGTTGTTACGGCAGTAACGGATTTCTTTGCATCTTTTTTGTGATAACAAAGATCTGCATATAATGTGCATGCATTCACTATTTAGGTGCAACATTATCTATCGAATATTATTTTTTTGCACCAGTGATTAAAAATGTGAAAAAATCATGAATTTATTTATCTCTTTATTTACTGAAATTTTATTCGTTTCTTGTCTGTTTTTTAAAATCAAAACATCTTGAAGAAAAGTATTGCCTTTCCACAATAACCTTGCTAGGAATGAGTATGAGCTCATTGGTACATTGGTGATTCTTATAGCTTTGATTAATACTCCCACCGTTATATTCATTTTCACTAATGAGGCCATCATTCGACCCCTAAGATTGTCGAGCCCTTTATTTATGAAAAAAATAAGGTACAAATCTCCTTGACCAGATCCATACAAAATCAAGTTGCTCAAAATCTCTTCATCTGGACAAGTAGTCAGTTTTAATGCAAAGTCGGCAATGGACAGTGACGAACGACGGGCGATGATCACTTAATTCATTAGACCATTCGTGACGACTTAAAGATTATGGGGAGGGTTCCATCGATTCAAAAACGGTATTGATAACAAATAGACAACACCTGAATAACAAAGGAAGGAAAGTGTTATAAGGTAAATCATTAAAAGTGAACAAATAAGAAAAAAACCAGAAATAGATAGGTAAGATTAGTGCAAATACAAGTAATAACTTCGTATGTATACAATAAATACATATACAAAACCTGTCGCCGGACACCTCCTTCTTTCTTAAGGTCAAATAGAATTGTATTTAGGACACATGTTGCCTTCCTTTGAAAAGCTTTTCCCTTTTAAAGGAGTTTCACAGTAAAACCCATAAACAAACCAAATATAAAAATAGGACGTGCAGTATTCAGGACTTTACTGATGACACATTCCTAAAGAACACAATAATCAATGATACATTCAAAAGGTACACAAGAATTTATGACATATATAAATTGCATACACAATATTCAATAACACAAACTAAAGACACTCTATAACAACGTCCTTAAGGGAGATAAATCTTACATCACAATACTGTTTTCTACAGTAGCATATTACCTTAAATCTATTACCGATACACACTTATAGAATTAGTACAGTCATTAGACACTTATAGAACCAGTTACGCGTAGACTATATTTTCTCGATAAATTATTAGTCTAAACATGTATAAAACGATGGGACCATCGAAATACATACAGATGTGACAGTTATTTAATTACCCAAGCGATTAAAAAAACGGTATGCTAAGTCACGTTCGTTTATTGATGTGTAACTATTCAGGCACTTCTATAGCTAGACGACATTGTCCCGGCGGTTCTAATGTTTACAAACAAACGTTGTACTCCATACCAGTATACACACGTATCGATCAAATAAAACGTCTAGACTAATGAGTTCATCGCTGGTCTTAGCAGTTCATTGACCTGATTCATCTGCTATCTTATGGATATCGCTTGAAATTTATATCAAACCAGTTCAATCATTTGAGGGGAAGTATGCATAGGTCTGTTCACATCCCACGTCTCTAACTTTTCAATATACATGTATAGGTACAGAATACTATACCTCCAAATATACACGTCTGCAAAGCTTCATATAATCTGACAGTATACAGTATTAAAGAAAAGTAACAGCACATTTAGTATAAGAGCTACAATTGTAAAATAAATTCGGTAAACTTATTTCATTGATTTCAAGATTTTAAATTACTGACAACGGAGACTGAATGCCGCATGCTTGTATTTTGTCTATCTCCCTCACTAACAGAGGAAAACAAAGAAAGAGTATTCATAAACTTGTACATTTCAAACCTTTTCTTTGCCCTTTTTAAATTTCAATGAACCTTTTGACCTTCTGTGTCTAAATGATACTGGGTCTTAAATTCTCCAAAATAAAAAGAAGAGAACCCACACAGGCATAGTTTTGTAGATGCATGTTTATTTATATGATTTATTAACTAGTTATGTAATAAACATGTAAATAAAAACATAGAGCCGATCAAAAGACAATCAGATTATGTTGAATTGGAGACTGTCCTTTCGTGTTCTTGATGGACAAAGCGAAAGAAAAAAATGAAAGAAGTCTAAAAAGATCATTTACGTCGTTTCTTCCCATCTATATGTAGCGAAAATCAACATATGTGCTGATATCGTAATTCGTTTTGCCTTCCAATCATGATTTCATAGTGACGAGAAAACACATATCCCGTCAGGTGGGCTCTCTGGCCTGGATTTCATAATATATAAAATGTAAACTTTTTTTTTATATTAGGTATTATTTCATAAGATAAAACCAATGGTAAGCTTTTTGTATGGTTATTTTAAAGGGTTTAACTCCTTTTATTACATCTGCACGAGATTCATCGTAATCATAATGTAATGTGCTGTAAAAAGTAATCTTAAATTCTTTTCTACGAGGACACAACCTTTAGTGAGTCATCCAATCCTCCCAAATCTGTTTAGGGGAGGTAAAAAAAAATCACATTCATCAAGTTTCATCCATTTTGTTTTGTTTTTTTGTTTTGTAGTGTTTCGAGTATTTTTCTATCAATTATTGGCATTAGCCTCAATTAATTTTATGTAATTCATTCTCCTAGTTTCTGTGAATGATGCCATGAATCGTTATACTAATCCTATTATCGCTCAGTGGGGATATTTTTACTGTAGTTAGTATAACACCTCTTTACCATTTTTGACTTTACTCAACGGGGCCTGATATTGGCGACGCTTTGTCTACCTACATTGCTAATTACAACAAACGGGCTTTAATCAGCCATAATAGCTGTGTGAGTAACTTCCAGGGAAAAACACCATTTTTTTCATGGGAAAAATGTTTGCTTTTTCTTCCAGTTTGTTTGAGCAATGGTTATAGAAATACAATGTTTGTAAGAGATGGGATAAACCAACAAACCATTAAGTTTCAACACTTTACCTGTGTGACGTCATAAAACAATTAGCGTCGTGTAACGATCGAGGGGTCGGCTTGAGACGTTAAGATGTATAGGTGTGTTTAGGTGTGTATAACCCGCCACCCTCGGGGTGTAAGTTTACATTGTTAATCCTTGTACATTTCCGGGTGTTTCTATGTAAATTCATATTCTATTATACGAGTTCCCCACCCCTGCGGGATTGTGTGGCGACACAGTACATCGCCTGTTCTGTTCCACAATGAAAGTTATATTCCTTACGTAACCGAAGGGGTTTCCGTGATAATTATATTTGGATATAATAGAAATTAATCCTGAGGAGTCACAATTTTTTTTTTCTCCTCGAGTCATCACCCTTTTTTGCTGATCCCAGATTCTCAATCACTCTTTACATGTTTTTTTTTTTACAAAATCATCACGTATAAAGCTTTCATTTATTTTGATATTACATGTATTCCTAACTCGAAACAGCAGTGATTATCCCTGAATGTAAATATCAGTGATGTTATTTTGATGTATAAATACAATAGCTATAAAGGAAACAGTTGTTTATCAAAAAAAGAAAAGAAAAATAAAGCCAGATATTTAATCCATTATTGCTCAATGACTTGGACACAGAAAATTATCTCAACGTTAAGCAAGATCAGCGCTAGCTTATTTCTATATCGATTAAAATGAGACTTTTCCTGAAAAATTATTGTGAAAAGAATTCAGGAACATTTAGATCTACAACAAAATAAATAATGTAAAATTAACAATTATATATTTAGTGATCGAATATAGTTTATATATGGCAAATGTCACCGTAGTTGTTAACATTGTGCCCAATATCACAATGCTATATCTGACTTAGTTGGAAGCTACATTTTCTTATCACGTTTACTGTGTAATCATTGCATTGTTAACCCGATTTACCTCCCCTAGTCACGTGATATGCAATCTAGCGGGATAGTTGTAACAAAGAAAGCAATATCTATACAAACAGTTATAATAATTCAAAGTTAATATTGATTGCAAATGATAGTTTTACGACAGTAAGAATCCCACGTATGGAATATCCACACTGACAGCTGTCAAAATTAGCATGGTGTGTATTCCTGAAGATAAACAAATTTTCAAAACTGACATTTCGTGCCAAGCACGGCAAAATGGCTCCAAATATCACGTTCAGATTTAAACCAATCAAACACACGCTTTTATCCAGACGTCCAATCAAATAGCGCGTTACTTCATATGGTAATTGAACACGTGGTACAGCGATTGTCAAATACTCACCACGAGGTTGGCAGTATACACCGCGTGGTTTGAGCGAAGTGTCAAGAGTTTACGCAGAGGTGTTTGTGCAGATTTCATCGTTAATTCTCAATTATATCAACTTTATTATCGAAAAATGACTGACACTGGTAAAGTCAAACGAGGTAAGTTACTTTTCGATGCTTAACATTTTCCGTAAACATGTTTATTTGTGGAGTTGCTACAGCTGTCAAATATTTGACGTATCTCAACGTTACGGACCACGTGGTCTGCTAACAAAGACTAGACGCCTTCAATTGTTATTAGCGGACAATTAAACATTTTTACTTTAAAATTTGTTGTGTAATCCAGTAACTATATTATTAATGATGCTAAATATCCGTATTTTATGGGATATCATGTTTACTATGAAGTTCTAGCTACTTAACCATGCTTGCCATATTGAAATGTAGCGCGATGGCCGATCCGGATGTCGATGTTCTATTTATTTACCTAGCGAGGAGTTTTCCCGCGTTAGGTCAAATACGGCTTCGTGGTTTTTTCCCTTGTCTGTTTAAATGTATCAAAACAAAAGTGACGAACTATGTTGTGTTCAAAGCAAGAAAACTAACGTTTGTGTTAATTTTGGACGAATATTAGTCATTGCTATATTTATAGTAGACCAGTTGATCAAATTCGAAATGTCATCACTACTTGACAGAGTGGCAACAATGAGACATTGTGTCCCACAATCTATCAATAGTAAATGCATTATTAGACTGATAAACAATGTTGATTTTATAAACAAGAAAGCATGTCTGATTATTTATTGATCTTTTTAACAGGTCGTGACTTTAAATTCTCTCGTCCATGGGAACACTGCTTTGGGTCTGATCAAGATGAACATGATCTCCACGAGAAGAAGAAAGATCCACTGAGGTCTCAAATTGATTCCAGGAAACGGAGAGGAAATTTGCCAAAAGAAGCTGTGAGAATTCTGAAAACCTGGCTTCATGAGCACAGATACAATGCTTACCCTTCTGACCAAGAGAAAGTATCACTGTCTAGTGCCACCAACTTGACAGTGCTACAGGTATGCAACTGGTTCATCAACGCGAGGAGGAGAATTCTACCAGAGATGATCAAGAAGGATGGCCAAGATCCACTTCAGTATACAATTACCAGAAAGCACAAACAATCCTTGCTGGACAGGGTCACTTTTACAACTGGTGACGATTCCAACATGGATAATAGTTATGATGGAAGTGATGAAATATACAGGTCCAGAATGCCTTTTCTTATTGACACTGACGGCTATATGTCAGATTGCGAAGCATCTTCATCAAGTGACTTTAATTCCGAGTCAGAATCCGTGTCGGATACAAGTGATGGCATGTCAAGTAGATTTCATGAGCACAGCTACACTCAACGCTATGAGCGTGTGCCAGTTCAGGATCATTCAGCCATTTCCAGTCATGAACTTGTTCGCAAAGATTCCTATCCATCCGATGACAACACCCCTCCACCTTCGCCTCCTGAGCCCACCCCTGTTGCCCATACCCCAGAGTCATTCAATGCTTTCTTCATGCTTGTCGATGTTGCAATGGGTCAGCTGGAGAAACAGAAATGTGAGGAAGCATCACAAGAATCTCCACAAAAATCATTAATGTCTGTGTGAAATTTGGACCTTGCTTGGAAATATACATATATTATAAATCAACTTTGTATGGCCAATGAATGAGAGGATATTTCATGGAAAAAAAAATTTGTGACACAAACTTTATACTGAAAAATACTTGAAAGTTTCAAAATGTTTGCAGCTAGAAAAGATACCTATATTTTTACTCGACACTCATCATCTACCATTTTGACAAATTGACATATCCAGTGATTTCATTCATGTCAACTGCCTCAGGATTTTTTTTTATCTTGATGAAGTTTCTGGATTATACAATATACACTTGTAGCCTGGAGGTAAAATTTTGAAGTGACAGCTATTATATTATTGTGAAAAATATATACTATGAAGTACAGAAGAGAAAGTAAGCTTTAGGGGAGTGATAAATGTGACTGGAAATTAATTATGATTAAAAGTGGGTTAATTGATATACGGATATCTATTTCACCTCATTTATTTTATCAATACATTTTCCTAAAATGAACAAAATGGTGGGGTGTTTTTCATGGCTTAATTTTTAAGCAAGTCTATTTAGCCATTGGCCATTAACAAGCAATCATGGCAACTTCTATAGAGGAGACAGGTGGGCCATCTACCTGTAGTACATTGGCCACATGGTAAATAAACAGTGCCTGCGTACCCAGCCGGTGTTTACAACCCATTTCCCGCGTTAGGTTCACTTTGACAGCCATTGTAATCAGGCCGGCTCTCCTCTGCAATGATTGGCTGGTTCTGTAATGAGGCCATGTTGTGTGTGTATGATAACGTGTGCACAGCGAGTATAGTTTATCAAGGCTTTTTACTATACACAAGAGTGATATGGATCTAATCCGGACTTGTATTATAAGTGTTTTTAACATGTTGGACAAAGATAACAATTTATGAAGAATTTTTTTTTAATTATGCTGGTTCACTTTATATATAATTTTTACTAAATTATTGAAATTTGTTGGGGGGGGGGGGGGGGGGGGGGGTGTTCACATTATATTGTTGAAATGGAAATTAAATATTAATAGAGTACTTTATCAGCACTTCATTGCCAGTTCTGCTCAGTTATTTTCATGTTGAACAAGACTTGTACATTTAGCCAGATTTTAATAGACTGGCTGTTGCCATATTTTTTCTGCTTGAAATTAACTGCCAACCTATTCTGCTCAATGAAATATATATTCACTTAATCAGTTTGAAATTGCATTTGTAGAAATTGTATATTTTGAGACGTTTGTATTAAACATAAGTGACAAATAAAAACGAAATCCTTTAAAACTTCATATTTGTTTTATATTTACGTCTTGTTGTTGAAAGGTTGTCACTTTCAGAGCTCTAGACCGCTACAGGTTTAGAGACAGATTTATGGTTTGTCGTGAGTGACGGGGAAGGTATATACAATACACAGGCTTTCCAGGTAATTTTAGATAGCGAAACTGAAGTTATTTGCATTACAGTGAAGTTATATCCCTGTAAATAAAACTGCTACATACATGAAACATTGCCAAATTACTGCCGGTAGGGTTATCGCAACACGTGGTTTATCTCGCACGCTGATGCAAATAAAAACAAGGCCGCTAGACCAGCAGAGAGCCACAGAATTACGTGGCCATTGACTTTGTTTACGGCCACGCGGTACGGTAGGGCTAATGCGAGTTCAAGGCTAGGATCGGGGATCACTAGAGCGTACACAGACTCGTGTCGGTGTATTTCATTGGACGAAACTTTGGCGGTAAAATAATCTACTCCGTAGTCAAGCCAGACATATCGACCAGTGTCGTTGTGCCCATTGCATTGATCATCATTACACCTGTAGTATCGACTATCGATCCGTCGAGCTGTTGTATGTTTAGATTACAAACATGTATGCACGCCTCAAGGCTGACTCCATTAAAAATCTAGAATACACGGGATAGTATAGCTAGACAAAAAATTGGATGTGCACATTTCTTTGCTATCGTTCACAGGCGTTTCGGTTGACGTAAAGTATATTGGCTCTATTATAAACACCATTTGGCAACAAAAAGTCCCATCTTGTTCTATTCAATTCAAGCTTATTTGGTAAAAAGGTACAACAACAAAACAATTTCATACAGCACCCAATACATGTTTTGGCACAAATAATTTAAATTGCTGATTACATTATAAAACATATTAATGTAAAATCATATAAGTCTATACAAAAGTTTCACACTTTTATAAATTACAAGGTAGGTTATGTTTATTCCTACGAAAAATAAGATAACTAAAATACATGTTGTCCTTAAAACCAGGATTACCCAGAAAGTCTTGAAGCTTATTTCCACTGGGGTCCATTAAAAGAGACATAAACACTACTTAAGTAAAAATTACTATAGGTATTATATTTTGAAGATAACTTATTTTAAGGTTGTAACTTAAAACACATTGCATTGAATGAAGTACACACTCGTTAACATTCCTTCAAGGTTCATCTGAATCTATCAATGTTTGTGTACTTCATGCGCATCATTTTTAGCTCACCTGGCCAGAAGCATGCTGGGATGAAGGGCTACCAAGTTTGTTCAAATAAATGACCTTGACATATATTCAAGGTCACAGGGGTCAAATATGTTTAAAACCTTTAAACAACTTCTTCTGAATAACCAAGAGGCCTAGTATGATGATAGTTGGCCAGTACCATGCTGAAATGAAGGGCTACCAAGTTTGTTCAAATAAATGACCTTGATCTATATTCAAAGTCACAGGGGTCAAATATGTTAAAAACCTTTAAACGACTTCTTCTGAATAACCGAGAGACCTAGGGTGATGATATTTGGCCAGTTGCATGCTGAATGAAGGGCTACCAAGTTTGTTCAAATAAATTACCTTGGTTTATATTCAAGGTCACTGGGGTCAAATATGTTTAAAAACTTTAAACGACTTCTTCTGAATAACCGAGAGGCCAAGGGTGATGATATTTGGCCAGTAACATGCTGGGATGAAGGGCTACCAAGTTTGTTCAAATGAATGACCTTTGCCCATTTTTTCTGAATAACTTTAAACTTTAAGTCAAGACGCTGATATTTTGCCTGTAGCTTTATTTTAGTCCTCTTTTAAGGTTACAATTATGAGATTAATACCAGGTGAGCGATGCAGGCCCATTAGGCCTGTAGCTGCCAGTCAGATATTTGACTATCTTTTTAATGAAGCATATCATGTTGCAAAACTGCACATTCTTGTTCATTATAATTGTTCTGGATGATTGGGGTCATCAGCGAAAAGGTAAGCATCCTTTCTTGCTCTTGTTGCTTAATTTATATATAATACCAAAAAAAGACGTGTGGTCTTAGCTCTGATCTTTGAAAAAAGTCTTTTCATTGTTTCTACGAAGCAAGAATGCTTTTATCCTAGACAAGATCTTTTAAACTCGGACCTTTCATGAACTCATGAATACGTACGCGTGCAAATTCTCTGACGGCTCCTCCGTGTTTATGTTCGGGCTAACATCAAATCTTATCCGATTTACATTCATGTCCATTAATGCCCCTTCACATTTGCATTTATTTTTACACACGATAGCTTTCGTTTTCTTTCATAGTACATGTACATGTAATTGTGTTCATTCGTGTATATAAACGCTTTTATATACATGTGGTCACTCACGTTACATTTTTGTATCTACATTCGTGTCGGCTTTCACGTATGATAGTTTGAGTTGATGCTCGTTCATGATTTCATTGCTGTACATATTTTTTTCATCGTTTTTGTTACAATATATATGCCCATATGTGTTTATACTCATGTTAAAATTAACGTCATCTGTCTGACTCATACAGGTTGTCCATAACATGTGATACGACTAGTAATTTTTCCAGCGTCATATTTCTAATGATAACCCGCAAACACATTACTACAATGTCATTATTGTTTTTTCGATGTTGTGTAACTGTGTCAAATGTGTTTATATTTTCCCCTACCTCTTGTCTTTCATTCCCCACTCTTTGTCCCCTCGCTCTTACCTTTTAGTTATCCTGGTTATCTGACAGTCGTACATGTAACAATAAAAGAACTATCCGTTAGCAGTCTCCATGTTCCTACTTCGTACTTTTCCCCCCATGACAGGGTGTTCATTATCCATAAGCTACATTTTATATATTTGCCTATAGCAGTTGTTTTTCTTGTTTTTCTACAGACATATTGCAACCCAAACAACATCGCCCTTGTCTTGATCTAAATCTTACTTTTGTCAGGGGGCATACACACAAATCCAGGACCAGCAGACAGTTTTTCTTCATCTAACGACTCCGACAATATATCCTTTTCTGTTTCTGACGAAAACTCACTAAAAATCATGCACTTGAATATTCGTAGCGTTAGAAATAAAATTGTTTTTCTTGAGAGTTTTACCGATGACGTAGACATATTGTGCGTAACAGAAACACATCTCGATCCTTTTATCCCTGATTCTGACCTTCTTCTTACTAACTTCTCAACAATATTTAGAAAAGACAGGAACGCTTTTGGTGGCGGTGTTATGATTTTTTGCAACTAAAGACACTGCCTTAACGCAGACTTGATATTGAATCACCGAATGACGAAATAATTTGGATTGAATTTTGTACTGATAATAAGAAATATCTTCTATGTGTACTATACAAACCTCCATGGCAAAATACTAACTCTGGAATTTGGACTCGACTGAAACATTCTTTTGGCATAGCTTTTGACTACACTCCTCATGTTATATTAACAGGGGATACTAACATTGACTTATTAACAGGAAATAACAATGATCTTAGCATTCT